TACTACTACTCCAACAACACTGTATATAATCCTACTACTACTACTCCAACAACACTGTATATATTCCTACTACTACTACTCCAACAACACTGTATATATTCCTACTACTACTACTCCAACAACACTGTATATATTCCTACTACTACTACTCCAACAACACTGTATATATTCCTACTACTACTACTCCAACAACACTGTATATATTCCTACTACTACTACTCCAACAACACTGTATATATTCCTACTACTACTACTCCAACAACACTGTATATATTCCTACTACTACTACTCCAACAACACTGTATATATTCCTACTACTACTACTCCAACAACACTGTATATATTCCTACTACTACTACTCCAACAACACTGTATATATTCCTACTACTACTCCAACATTGTCAGGATGTTGGTGAATTGTCTCAAGTGGCGAAGGGAAGCTGATATTCAGTCCATCATTAACATGAAATTACCTCCTGAATTCCAAGGTAAAAGTGGTCATTTTTGGGCCTAATCCGTATCTTTGTCGCTCAAGGTCATGATTCTCCACCCGAATATAAAGACGTCGAAGGCAGGCCGATCCTCCTCACTACGTTTGGTAGTATGGACCCCGCGAAAGTGTTCAGCAATATCAACGGTTTTGTAAGGTGAGTAAAAACGTTGGGAAATATGCACATGGTGGAGGAAATTTTTGGAAAATTTATATATACAATTTTACTTTGAGGAAATTTTGGTATTGGAAAATATATACATTGTCAACTACATGTGTTGGTGATGTGCTGGTTTCAGCAGATTTTGGTAATGAGTAGTCACTCGAAGACACAAACGCTTGTCTCTCTATAGTTGTCTTATAGTGTAGCTGTGTATCTAGCGTGAAGCTAGTATATTAGTCTGCTACGATTGAGCTTCTATAGACCTCTTAAGCTGTTATTATTCTTACGTTCTACGTGAGATCAAACGGTGTTTCGTATATTGGAAAAGCGTCAGAGGAAATTCTGAGAGGGAATTTTGGAGAATTTCTGAGTAGTTACTATACAATTTTACTTGGAGGAAAATATGTACATAGTGAACTACATGTGTTAGTGATAATTTTTGAAATTTTTGAGAATTATTGTTGGTTTTTATACACTTCTACTCGAATTCGTGTGTAAAGTGCCGTTAGTTAGCTTTGGAAATTCCTGAGCTCAGCTGAGGAGAGCGAAAATAGTTCATTCACGTTATCCTACTCAACACTGGAGTTTTTAGCCGTTTTACGTGAAGTGAAAGGCACGATATTCAGTAGTCGTGAAATATGTTTTTCATATCACTAGGGTGGTGAAGCTCCACTAGATCCAATGACATAAAAAATGTTTTTCAGGTACCGAGTTATGGTTTTCGAACGTGCTATAGCACATCTGTCCTTTCGTCGGGGAGACGCGGAAACGTTGCTGCAAATTCACGACTACACTGGAGTGCCGATGGTTTTCCAAGAGTCTAGCATTAAAAAGTGCGTGAATGCATCAACACATGTAGTACGGGGAGGAGTTGGGAAAAGTGTGGTAGGGAAATATGCATATTATCCACTATGTGTGTTGGTGAGAGAGTATAAATTCTGGAAAAAAATTCTCAGTTTTTCGTGATAAATATGAAAATTCTGGGAAATTTTGGGATTTTTTGCGAAAATTTCGGTATTGGAAAATATGCATATGGTCAACTATGTGTGTTGGTGACAATATGAAAATTCTAGGAGGTTATTGTTGGTTTTAGTGAATTTCTACCCCAAATGTAGTGACAAAAGTTTTGGTGAATTCAGCTGAGGAAATTCAATTTATACTCCAACACTGGAGTTTCACCACCCTAGTGATATGAGAAACACTAGTGAAAAATATATTTCACGACTACTGCATATCACCGCGAATATCGTGTTTTTCACAGAGTATTACGACGCCACTTCACGTAAAACGGGTAGTCGTGAAACTCCAGTGTTGGAGTAGGAATATATGTTTGCTTCCTTCAGCTAAGCTCAGGAGTTTGCAGAGCTAAGCATGAGAGTTTATATACGAATAATACTAGAAGTATTATTCCCGAAAACCAGGAAAAATTTCCTGAGATTTTTTATGTCGTGGTTGACCATGTTGCATGCTCTCTTAAACTGGTTTCTACACTTTAGTGTGATTAGTAAAGTCATCATGACTGTCGTAAAATCATTGGAGTTTTACGCGTTTTTTACGTGAAGTGGCGTAATACTCCATGTGAAAAACGCGATATGAAGTGTAGTGAATATACTCTGCGAAATTAATCGGACAAATCACCCAATTTCACGTAAAACACATCACGCGTTTTACGCGAAGTGAAATGTGATTTTCATTAGTGTTTTTCGTATCATCACTAGGGTGTGGATTTTAGTTTTTTATTTTTATTTTCAGGTTTTCGCAGACTGTTATCCAGAGTTCAAAGGAGTCACTATTTTCGCAAATTTCCCAACGCCGTTCGTTTTGATCTTTAAGGCGATGTCGGTGTTCATCCCAACAAAAACATATAAAAAATTCCAACTTGCTAACGTCAGTGAGACGCCTTGCAAATTGGCAGAATATATACACCCCGGAGTTCTCGATCCGAGGTGAGTACGAGGTGATGTAAGTAGCGCGCGCCATTTTGATCGATTTAGATATGGTGGGTTGCGAACTGAGGCTAGCAGGGGTTTGACGTCGGAAGGACACACGAGGAGTTTATCGGCACGAGAAAGCGTGGAAATTAGGGCGCTCGAAAATGCCGCGAAAGGCGATAAAATTATGTATCAAGTTAGGGCGACTTATGGAGCTGTTTTTGCTAAGGTGAGCTGGGGGGGAAATATGTGTTGGTGATAATATGAAAATTCAGGAAAAGTATTGGGAAATTTTTGTCAGTTTGTATACACTTATGAAAATATGCACATGGTCAACTAGATGTGTTGGTGATAATATGGAAATTTTGAGAGATGCGCACTTCTACCCGAATTTTTATAGTTAGCTTTGGAAACCCCTGAGCTCAGCTGAGGAAAGTGAAAATATTTTTTTACTCCAACAACAATTTTGGGTAGAGGAAGGCTAGTAAATTTCAAACAGATTTTTGAGTGAAATCTACTACTAGGTTGTGGTTTCTCGAGATTGTTCGTGGTGGAATATATGTTTGCTTTCCTCAGCTGAGTACAGAGGTATCCTCACTAGGTATAAAAGTTTACATATAAATTCGGGTAGAAGTGTGTAGAAATTAATGAGAATTTCCTCGATTTTTCCTCAAAATTTTCACAAAATTATGAAAATTTTGATGAAGTTTTGGGATTTTGTATTTTGTTATCCCAACTCGTAATGGTGGTTTGGAAACTCCTGAGCTCAGCTGAGGAAATTAAAAAGTTCTAAGTTTTTATATTCCTCCAACACGGTGTTTGTTCAGGTCGTCTTTCGATCTGTTGATGGAAGTGATGAAGTTACGGTATACGATAGTGGAAAAAAGGAAATTCAGCCTTTTGGTGACAAGGCTGTTGTCGAAGGCACATTCAAGTAAGCCTCCTCTCGGGTGGAAAAGATCGTCATCTCGTTATAGGTGTGAACGCCCAGGAGATGTCGTTATAATGGTACGTAATGTTGGCCGTTTTTCCACGAAAATCGTGGCTTATCGCGCTGAGAAAATTTGAGTTGGACGATGATTGTATTTAGAAGGGTTGTTCAGTTGTTGTCGTTGTACTCGGGCAATATTCCTCATCGTTTCTGTGTCGTTCGAGTGGGTTTGCGTTCAGCCGTCCGTGTTGGGAAGCTAAACACCGACAACACGGCTTAGTAGTTGAACTCGCATCGATGCATATTAGCTCACTGGTAATCAATTATCACAGTTTTTGACCAACAACATAAGAAGTTCTCCCGGGGAAACGATATTTCATCACTAGCATTCACCAACAGAAAGGGGGTCTTTCACAATGGTATCTCTCCACGTTTCAACCTCTCCAAGTCTTCGTACCACCATCACGCTTTTCCCATATCGTGTCACTATTTTCCCATTGCCCTTCACTATTCTTCCAGTGCTTCATCATACACGCCGCTAATTCGATCATAATAATATGTCATACCACTCCTCGGCGGCATCATCCCCACATTACCCTCACTGCCAGCGCATCTAACAGCGCCATCGGAACGGACCGTCCATTGCCTTTTCGTGTTCCAAGCCAATCGCTCTTTATCCCGTTGTATCGAATCAATTCCACTCCACACTTTATCGAATCTGCGGAGTTTGCTATCAATATCTCGCTCGCCCGTAGGATACTTTCCGAGGATGGGCCAACGACATTGGCAACATTCGAAACCGTCGTAGTACATTAGGTTATTAATATCTTCCCAAATTAAAGATACAAGATGGGTACCCACGTGCCCCTCCTCCCCTCGCAGATTACCTCGACAATAGCGCACAGTAGAGAACAACAATAACATCGTGGTAGACACTAACTCCATTAAAGCTAATAGTTGATAACATCACCAATAGACGCATATACTCTTGATATAAATATCCCTCTGCCGAGATGAAAAAGCCCTCTAAGCTTCCATTGGAATACCGTACTCTAATGGAAGCACAAGCCATTGTGACTAGCTATTGTATCTAAACCGGAAAATGCCATCAGCAGCGGTTGATATTGCAGTATGGACAAGGACCGATTATCGACTATCGTAATGATATATGAGATGACGATTCCATGTATGAGAGCTTCACTAGTTATACTCTCTATCTCCGATGACATTAAAGCAGCATGCAGCAGCACTCAAGAAAGACCTCCTCGATTGAGACCGATAAATACAGACAGCACAGTGAAAGTCATTACTGTTTAATAATAGCAAAGGAATGCCTTGAGAGACGGCCTGATTATACCCGATCGATGTAGACTATCTTCATCATAAGCTCAGCTAGGGCATTCCCCTGCAATCAATCCGGTGTGGCGTTATCTCAACACTTACACTGGCACAAAACGTATCGCTATCAAACACACTCGTGATATTTCAGCCGTTGATGCAAGCAATAACCATAGCAGAGACAGAAACAGTTTACTCTGAACTGCTTGGTCGTACCATACAAGTAGCGTCCTCTAGGATGACTTACACCCGAGTCCGACTCGGGTCACCCGAGATAATCAGAGAATGCTCTTACAGCATGATTAACAAGCTCAAAAACATGTAAATTAGTCAATTTCCTGCCCCATTATCCATAACGTCAGAGACTTTGTCATGACGAAGGTGGAGGGGCGAAAGTTTCGCCGCGAAACTAGTTTTTTCTGGAAGGTTCGGACTTACGGGAGGCGCTGGGCTCGGCCTTTTTATTAGTGTCATAGAAAGGGCGACCAAACTTCGTCTTCTTCAGTAGGATATGCTTAAGCGGGCACCGTTCGCCTCTGTTACAGTCACCCATCTGGTAATAGATGATCTATTATAGATGCAAACAGCACGGTCAGAATCCTTCTTTTCGTTGTTCTTCGATGGCTCCTTGGGAACTTTACCGTGAGCCTTCTCGAGCGGCTAATCGACATGTTCGAGACCACCGAACTGCGCGGAGATATACAAGCAAGGATCCAGGTCACTCTGCAAAACCTCGGAATTAGTATGTCTTTGTTGGTGATATCCTATTAGAGACCCACGATACTTATGATCATCTATGACAGCAGCTTCAACGTTTCGTTTTTCAGCTAGCTGTATGGCTTTGAGTAGCCACTTGAAGTTCAAGTACAATCAATTCAGTCAATTCAAGTTCAGTCAGTTCACTCGCTATGTTCAAGTCTTGAACATAACAAGTGAGTTGACTACTGATTTATTGCCACAGACCCTGAAAATTCCTGTGCACTATCTACAATAGCACGAAATTTTACGGGCCTTACCTGTGCGAATGGCAACGGTTTAAGCAGTACTCACGTCCTCGGCTTGCTGAATGCCTACTGGGCGGCTTTAGCCTGATCCGCCAAGGTAAGAGCATGAAGCTTGACGGCCTCTCGGTCAGCCTCGGCGACACGACTAGTCATTCTTTGAATGACTTCGTTGGACACATTGTTCAAAAGCAAGGTCGAGAGGATTCTCTCTTGGCTAAGCTGCTGCACTAGGGCCTCTTTCCTTCGTCGACGACTTCTCCTTCCAAGAGAGGGTCCACAACATTACGACGAACGACAATAGTGCGATCACCCATTGCAGTAGATAAGTAATTGATCAATTCAATGAAAGGCAACCAATCAGTTCATGAGTCCTGAACCTTCCAGTGAAGGACTCACCAAGCCTCATTGTGTGTTGTGTGAACCATGTCCCGTTGCACAAGATATGGTCACTTTGTGTCACAAAGTTTGTGACTCGATCTTCGGGGAGGGTTCGAGACTCAGCTGGTTCCACTATCACTAGCATGCTAACTCGAAGAAAGAAGCCATCTTTTCCCCGGCTCTGACTGAATCTACCAGTGAATATCTGAGCTGTCAGTAAGATTGTACGAAAAGTGCATGAACAGTGTAGAAGTTCTACAGTAGAACGACGGTTTCGCAGAAATCAACTCCGATGGCCTTAGGTACTCTCAAGTTGTTGACTAGTTCTGCCTTCGATGATAGCATTCACTTGGATAACAGTTGGGGTTTCACCGTAAACAAAAAACAACAGAATAGCTTAAATCAAAATCGATCATTACGAGAGCGAAATTGAAGATCGGGAATCCCGATCTTCAATTTCGATTCGGGATCACCCAGTAGAAGACACAGAAACAAGTTTATCCTGCAGGTGAAACCAAGGCCTTATCAACCACCCTTTTGTGCGGTTCCGACTGACCTGGCTGGTGGACGGCCCTTCTTTTTGTGGATCTCCAATCTCATCAGCAAGCCCTGAAGCACCTCGTTATCAATTTTTAACTTCTTGACTTGCTCTCTGAGCCGAATCTCTGGCACCTGTCTAGCATAACGGCGGTTGAATCTAGCAGCGTCGACGAAGACTTTGGTACATTCGACGGCTTAGCCTTCCAGACCCTGGAACCCAGAGTGATACTATCGATATATCGAGGCG